AATCGAGATTTTTCTGTCTGGGCACATTTACTCTGTACAGGTCTGGACATACCCCCCCGCTGGCCTGTAGTATTGACGTGATGTGGAGTTTGATAACACATCGACATCATTTTCTGCCTGTTCATCTGCCAAAGGACACAAACACCTCTCCATTCCCCAGGCGTATATGCAATACTCCAAACCATTCCACCAGCTGTAGACATCTCAGGCTGGTGGTAAAACCACATGAGGAACCCTAGGCGGTGAAACTCAGCTCAGGTGCTGATTTTAGTCTGGGGAGCTAAACAAAGGCAAGCCAAGTTTGCATTTTCTTTCTTTCCTGTCTTTAAAGCCTAGGGATTATTTAGATAAAAGTAAAATATGTAAGGCTTTGTCAAAGGTTCCTCTCTCTTGTAATCTCAATTTGCAGACATGAGTGATTCCCCAGGGCCAAGCCAGTGAGAAGTTGAGATTTTACCAAATGTGCACACGCACCTTAGCAGCCAGACGCCTGTGGAAAATTGAATGTGAGGGGCAGGAAATGAAGTGCAAATGGAATTGGGACATCTGCAGTCCTGGTGTGTTCACAGGAGAGGAGTCAAGTCACTACTGTGAGTAGCAAGAGCCAGTGCTAATGTGAAAGAACTGGGAAACTTTAGACTACCTTTCAGCTCCCAAAAGAAGGCTATTGCATCCAGGTAGCTTTGGACCCCCATGTTCATCAGTTATTCTGCTGGTTTCTATGGCGACATCCTCCTAGGTATTTGTAAGGTCACAAAGGGAAGAGCTAACCCTCTTACTCCTGGAATAACTAATGTGGTTCTGTTACTTGCTTGATGTAAATGGTCTCAAGTGACAGCAAACTGTACATATAGTCAATTACAACTGCTCAAAGGAAATGATTTGTTGTAACAGCCGCTGTTCAACCTCTGTGACATCAATGTTTCTATGGAAACAGTTGCCCATTGCACTGGTTTGAATTGAGTATTGATCAAACTAGGGCCAACACTATTTCAGAGACTTGCTACTTTACTGTGTGGCAATTTACGATAGGAACTCATAACATCACTGTATATTTCAAGCCCCAAGGAACCAATTTAGCAGACAGTTACAGTAGAATATTAACAGAGGTCAATAATGGAAGTCTGATTATAGTCCTAGAACAATTATTCAATGCTTTTGTTGTCTGCCCTTTCAACATTCCAGCAGCTATTACGGTTTTTCAAATAATAATATTCATGCCTAGAGAAAGTGCTGTATTCATTCATCTTCTATCTTAAACTTTATTTTTCATTGTTATGTTATCTATCAATAAAATTATTCAGCTATATTAACCAAGCTGTGACCCCTCAGAAGTAAATAACTATTGATCAAGGAGTAAAGATCCGCTGGTGCACAACACTGTTTTCCATTAATGATCTTATTGGCCCAGCTGATAAGAAGGCTCACTCTGAACCACAGAAGACACAAAAGTAAAGAATAATTCTATGAAAAATAGGGGCTCAATTTCCCGTGTCTACTGAAGATTGAATCTTCTAGCCTCGATTGAAGGAGAAGTGAAAAATCCAAGCAACCCCCAGCAGAACTGTTCTGTGAGCCCTTCATTCTCTGCAATACGTCCATTATCTATGTATGTTTTTCAATCTTCTTTGGAAAGAGTCTTCATGATGATTTTGTCTAACCTCTCCTCAAAGAAACAGGGTCAGAAAACCTTAGACAGACAAACAGAGATAGATGATAGAAAGACAGACAGACAGATAGATGCATAGGTAACTTAGACATGTACACATATATGTGAGGTTAGGTTATATTGGAAAAAATCATAATTTATTAACATCGCTTATCTGAATGAAAATACACAACAATGATTTCTGTCCTTAGATTGATTTTTCAATAACTTCAGTCAACCAATGTTAGAACATCATTTACTTCTTTCCTTTTGAGTCATAAGTCCAACAGTCTGCTGAAGTGACATTGACCATGGTGTAGTTATGTCTGTGAGAATGAAGCTGAAGTTGTGAATCTTCAGAAAGCACTTCCATAGCATGGCTACATGCCTAGTAAGGGGTTGTCTGTAGATGTAACCTGTTTCAATATATGGATATGAGGACTAAGTTTTTATTATACTAATTGAAAATTAAGGCTCGGAGAATGTTTTTTGTCAGGTTATAACAGATTTCCCCACCTGCTTGAAGAAATCCCTTACTCATAAAAGAAAAAGAATATTCTTGCAAATGAGATTGATTTCTGAAATCCTTGTCTAGAAAGCTCAAAAGTAAATACAATTTGAAAAATCAGTTCAGGAAAGAAGAAAAATCTAAAATAATTCTAAAATGTCTAAATCCCATTCTCTCTTTCTTTTGTCAACTAAGACTAAGCCATTTTGAAGAAACGCCATCTTTATACTCAGGGAAATGCATAAAGAAAATATTTATTAAGTGTCCATTAAATGCTAGGTATTGTTCTGAATACTGGAACACAGGTGAACAAGATTAGGTCTTGAGACTGACAGGCCTATTCTAGTAGGCAGTAAGAATATTTGCCGTGCTGAACAGAAAGTTTTGGAGATAAATCATACCTTTACCCATATTTGATGTTTCCTTCTATGTCTCTTTTTACTATATTTTACTACCAGATTGCTAATTTGTTTATTTATACCCTGATTTTCTATTAAAAAAAGAATGTAAAACATGTTACAAAATGGAAATGGAAAGAAATTATGGCAGATGGAAACTAGAAATAGGAAAAATAGATAAGTCTGGAAACATAACCAAGTTAGCAAGCCCCAGGCATGCCAGAAGGCCCAGTATACATTCTACGGGTAGACAGACAGACATTTGGCTCTGAGTTCCTAAACAGCCAAAGCGAAGAAACAGAATTACCAGCCATGGTTCTCCATCACTGGGATTAAAATAAAGCAGAGCAACAGCACCACATTTAAAGCAAGTCCACAGAGGAAGCACTGATGTTGACCCTGGAACTGACCAGAGAACTCCCCACACATCGTAAGAAGCAAGGCTTGGTGGTGTGAGAAACAATGCCCTCCATTACGGACTGTGTGGAAATGCACCATTGTGTTCCACAGTACTGGAACACAAAGACTTTTCAGTGGAATTTAATAATCACAATTCTGTAGGGGAATCAAAAAACCTTCCCAAAAGTATTGCTGGATATTAGTATCTCACTATTGAGAATCCATAAAAAACGCATGGTGCTTTAGTAATATACTGGCTGGTTTGGGGTGTCAACTTGACACAAACTAGAATCATTAGAGGAAGGATCCTCCATTGAGAAAAGGCCTCCATGAGATCCCAGCTGTAAGACATTTTCTTATTTACTCATCAATGTGGGAGGGCCCAGCCCAGGGTGAGTGGTGCCACCCCTAGTCTGCTGGTCTTCAGTTCTATGAAAAAGCGGTCTGAGCTAGCCATGGAGTACAAGCCAGGAAGCAATTCCCCTCCATGGCCTCTGCATCAGCTCCTGCCTTGTATGAGTTCCTGTCCTGACTTCTTCATTGATGAACAGCAATGCTAAAGTGTAAGCCTAATAAACCCTTTCCTCCCCAACTTGCTTTTTGGTCATGGTGTTTCATCTCAGCAATAGAAATCCTACCTAAGACAAGTGCCCACAGGCACATATCTAACTTGGAAGGATAGACTCTCCTGGTATATCTTAAAGATCTTTCATGATGATAGCTTTTTGCTTGGATGAAGTTCCCTTACTTTCAACTCTGTGTCATCTGATTGCATCTATAAATATCCATATACATATTTGTATGTGCACATACGTGTAGAATTTTTAGCTCTATAAGTGGGTATGGAAGGGTTTTGCACAAAATTTCAATCTCTGACTCTCTAACTCTTTTTGACTCAGACTGCTCCTGACTTCTCCAAGCCAGGTCTTTTGTAGTTAAAAAAAAAAAGTGGTGCATCACTCTTGGATTCAGCTATCTGAAAGCGATAATTTATTTAAAGGGTAAGTGGTATAGAACTGAGACACACCCTGCTTTACTCCCACCTCCATCCAACACCCTAAGTTGATGTCAGTCGTTAATTCATTTAGGTCAATGCAGAAAGGTGACAAAATCTCACTAGGTGACTGTTGGGTGGCAAAGGCCATAGCAGAAGTCATACTGAGGTTCCTTGCTTGCAAGATGGTAAAGTTGAAAGCCAAGAATGCAGGGCTGGGTTGTAGCGCAGAGGAAGGGCACTTGCCTAGAAATGGGAATGTAGACAATAGGAAGTGAAACCTACAAAGCCAAGAAGGGTGGTGTCGGAGTCACATTTACAAGGGATCATCCCAAATTAGCCTCAACAGGGAAAACCTGAATAGAGAGCAGAAAGCTTGTCCTGGTCAGAGGAACCAAGAATTGCCAGGCACTCTAATGGGGGATGTCTTTCTGTATGCTGTGAATATATGTTTCTCTTATTGGTTGATGAACAAAGCTGTTTCAGTCAATGTACAGGCACAATTTAACAAGGTGGGAAATCCAAACAAGGACAGAGAAAGGTAGTAGGTGGAGTCAAGGAGACATCATGTAGCTGTTGAGGGAGCAAGAGGTCCAGACATCACCAGTAAGCCAAAATCACGTACACAGACTAATTGAAATGGGTTAATAATGAAGAGAGAGCTAGCCAATAAGAAGCCTGAGCCATTGGCCAAACCATTTATAATTAATATAAGCCTCTGTGTGTTTATTTGGGACTAAATAGCAGTGGGACTGGCAGGACAGAAACTTCTGTCTACAGCACTCCCAATCTGATACATAACCCAGAAAAGCTGTGCAAGAAGAGTAATCAGCTGTTAAATCCAAAGTTGAAAGTAAAAACGAGAAGGTCTCAATGCTGTTACAAAACCAGCAGGCGGTGTTGAGATGGTAGCACCTGTGGGGTTGAGCTTCACAGTGCCTAGATATTATCCCACTCAAGACATGTCACAGAAGCTGGTGAGCTCTGTCATTGAAGTCACTGAAGCAGCAACCTGTGAGCTACTCTAGCTGCTTTTAGCATCACACACAGGACCCTGCTAATGACTCATTCTGGATATCACAGGAGCAGGAGGATGGTTTTCCTAAAGCACTTTGGGAGTTCTTCTGTGTAGAAAACACTAGAAATATCAATCAAAATTGCTATCATTAATCAGAAAAATCCACAAGTATTTCACGGCTGCTTATCTCACAAGGAACTATGGAAGCCCAGGTACCAAAAAAGGTGAGTTCTTAAGCTCAGACAGGTAGGATGGAGATGGCAGAGCAGCACAGACATGACCAAAAAGCTGGGGACTATCCTTGCTGAAGACCAAAGCCACTTCCCATCTCCAGGGCTATATCCTATCCGTTTTGTTCTAACAACTAGAATTTATCACCACAGACTAAAGTTATGAGTTGCTTACAAAAACCTCAAAGAAACAACTGATACACACACACACACACACACACACACACACACACACACACACACTGAGTCCTCCCTGTTCCATGTGATATTTCAAGAAACTAACTTGAATTATATTTATGGATTTGCAAGTCTACGATGTGGAGGCATCCTGTATCTAAGCAATCTGAGAGTAAGAGAACTCAATGTAGTAAATAGGAAACAAGGAATGTCTTGGGTGCCATTGAACTGGTTTTCACTCCCCTCACTCTCCAAACCTTGTGTAATTATGTTCCAGAATCTACACTCACCATAAAACCAAACTGCCAAACAGATTCACCCTCACTCGGTTTCCCACCAAGGAATTTGTATTTATGATTCTTAAACAATGACATGTTTATGGTAATATTTAAATTTAGTAAAGCCTGAGATGGGCTTCCCTTCCAGCTTTGATTTTACAAAGACCAAATGGACTTTAATAGCCGTTCTTCTGTGACCATTGATCTGACCCTCACCTCTCTTCATTCACCTTCTGAAACAATAGATAACTCCCAGTAGGGTTTTGTGAGATCTACTTTGTTGTGCAATAGTTCTGTCCAACAACAGGATTTGACGAACATAGCTGTCTATTTGCAAAAGCACAGCATAGATGTAAAGGGGATGACAGGGGAAATGGGATTAGTTCTAGGAGACCCCCCCAAAAAAAACCAAAGTAATAGTCATAGACCCTTTGAGGTGAGCTTACCATTTTCAGACTCCATTTCAGCATGAAGGCAGAGTTGTCAAGGGTTTATCACATATACACTCGGTGTCTACTCTGTTCTTCCTTGCAGTGCTGATCATGTTCATTCATGCAAAGTCCTGTTTCTTGGCAGCCATTCTCTATTTTTCAGAAATGTGTGTTGCTTGTCGATCTGGAATCAACTATTATATAGAGAAGTAGACAGGTTAGGTGTCTTGGAATTACTGATGTGAAAGTAGTCATTATAGAAGGCCCTGGTATTCTTGCTTCTGATATTTTCTTTCAAAAAAAGTTTAAAAAAAAGAGGACTTTGCTTTTCATTTCTCAAAGCAAAAATTTTAAATAAATTACTTTTTAAAAAGTAAAAAAGCAATTATCTTTTCACTTTTGTTTCCAATATTTGCTTATTTTTCCATTTTTATTTATTCACTGAGGATTTCATATATGCATACAATGTATTTCAATCATAATTATTCTTCCCATTTCCCCACTCTAGCTCCTACTAGACCACATTGGCACTTACATGGGCACACACATACACACACACACACACACACACACACACACACACACACACTGCTCTCCCAACTTCACATTCTCTATCAAAAATAATCTACTGAGTCTAGCTAGTAAAGACAGGGTCTAAATGAGTCCACCAGACCCAAGATAAAGAACAAATAGGTATTTATTAGAGAAGCACTTACACAGATAAGAGTAAATAACAGCCTCAGTCTTCTTGCTCCAGAAGACGCAGTCTCTGCCCTTCCGATGCTCTCCACAACCCAAGAGAGCGCAAGCCAGCCCCTCCTCTACCTTATAATGGGTCACATCTGCACTTGAAACCATGCCACCACTACAAGTTCACTGGCAAGGCAAGATGCCACTGCAAGTTAGTGGTGCCCATATAGATGCATGTGTAAGGGGCAATCCACTGGTACATGGCCAGCTTACTATGGTCAACACCCCTAAAGATAATGTCTACATGCTTTTTTGCCTTTACTTCTTCTTTCTCCCAAAGAAACAAACATTGCATTTTAGAAATTATTCATTGGAACACTTTGGTCCTCTACATATCCCAATGTATAAAGAATTAGGAACTGGGTAGATAGAATATTACAGGCTCAAAACTAAGTAAAGGAATGTGGTTTATGGTGAGTGTGTCTTTGTGGCAGAAATGATGAGCTATGTAGATAGCAAAGCAACCACCCCCAGAATGATCTGACAGTGGAGCTCAGCCTTAACAATAGTCTAGAATGCTCTGGGCAACTTTTGAAATTCCTGATCCCATCTAAGAACAAATTCTGTAGTTGTAGGACCCAGGGCAGCCAAAACTAAGAACCACAAAGAAATGTGCCCATATGGGAGTGCTTAATTTCTGCTCTTAGACAGCTCACATTTTAAACCTTTCTTCCTAAAGATGCTTTTGTTGCCATAGCAGTTGGTAAAGACCAATAGAGGACTCCCCCTATTGGGGGAAGCAGAGACCATTGAAGGGATGCTGTAAGTAACATCATGCTGAAGATTATACTATGTACAGAGGTGGCCCAGCTATCCTACAAAGAGTCCATGATCAAATGGGAGAGTACAGTTTCAGGACTTGCAGGCTGTTGAATTCCCAAGGGATGAGCCCTGGAAACCTGTCTGTGGTACCTCAGACTAGCCCTCCAGTCTCAGTGCTGCCATCTAGAGGAGCAAAAGCATCTCGTGCGACAGGAGTGGCTGAGACGTTCATAAATTTAGGTTGTTTAATCTCTGTTCCTTCCAAACTGCTTCTTAAGAACATCTTTACAGATACTCATTAAATACTTGTAAATACATTTGTCTATTAATTATATGAGCTGTAATTTGATATTAAAACAAGATGTAAAGGAATTAAACACCCAAGACAAGTGAGTATTGCTCTCTTGCTGGCATTATTGTTATTTAACCTCTTCACTTCCTCTAATCCTGACATCACTTCCTGAATCCCAGATAGATTTGTTTAAATTCTGTCTTTAGCACCAGTATTCTTGAATTCAGAATGGCAGAACCTCAAGAGGACTCAGATAGTGATTCCGCGTCCTCACCTGTGGCTCCGCACTCCAGACACTACCATTCCAGAGTCCTAGTAGCGTTTGGGCTAAGGCTCACTGTCCAACTGCAGAGAAAGTCTGCAACAGCATAAATGTTTCCTCCCCGCTAGACTTTCTGGGGTTGTTCAGTCCAAAAATTCAGAATTTATTGAAGAGGCTTTTTTTCTTCATTTATTCTTTTATTCTTAAGGTGTTCGCCCATGTCCGGGGTTGGAATATGTTCAAGTAACAGATGTCACACTACTCCTGGGAGTCCTGGCTGTTTCCATCTTATGGACCTATTACAAAGGCCGCCTGCTTCCTCTCCTTATGGTGAGCCGCTGCAACCCTGGACTTCTGCTCTCCTTTTTGTGGTTTGGAATCAGTGTTTTGTCTTCACCAATGAGATGTGCATACACCCTCATCGCTGATACACATTGAATTAGTCTTCCAGGAGAAACATAGCTCAAACCATTAGACAAAGCAACAAAGAAAGGAGCAGATGGTCACACAGCATGAGTCAGTGTTACCCAGAGCTTGTTGTGGGATGTCCAGGCGGCCTGCCTAAGACTAGAATATGATCCGAAGATTCCAGGTACATCAGTTCCTGTTACAGCACAGCAGCTGCTGGTCACACCCAGTCTGGTGATGTTCCAAGGAGGCCAGTTTCTGAGTCCAAAAGGTTGGGATTTTGTGAGGAATGTCTTAGGAGCTAAATCTCTAGTACTTTCACCTGCAAGGCCTGAGCTGCTGGCCTCAAAGAATGCCTGAGCCTCTCAGCAGAGGAACTGGGTGGGGGGCATCCCGGAAATTCGAAACGAAGTAGGGAGCATTTTTTAAAACCATTTTGAACAAACTCACATTGAACATGATACTGTGTTGCATAACTACATTTTCATACAGGTAATCACTGTACATTGCACATAGCTATCTCTACCCCCCCATTCCTCCTCTTTCCAGTTTTGAACCTATACTTCACATCATATATGCACGCATGTTTTTATTCATCTTGATAAAATGTAGGAACCACAGATAAGAGAAAACATCCAATATTTGTCGTCCTGGGGCTGACCAAATTAAATTATTGCAAATGTCTCCTGTTATGTGTATCTTCCTGCAAACACTGTAACTTCCTCTTCTTTGTGCCTGGAAACACTCCACGGTGTACATAAACCACATTTCCTATCCAGTCCTCTGCTGCTGGACTCCCAGGAACTTAGTTAGCTCTGGTGACTGATGGTACAGTAAACAGTGACATGCAAGCACCTATGACATGCTGACTCAGAGTCCTTTGGGTGAACAGGAGTGGTATATCTGGGCCACATGGTAGGTCCACTGTCAGGTTTCTTTTGAGAAATCTCGAAATGAAACACATTTTTGTTGTCTCCATCACTGGGAACAAGAGAAGTGCCAGCATGCAGTCAATAAGGGGTCAAGGGTGCCAGGCATCCTGCCAACTATGAGGCAGCTCTGTTCAACAAAGACATGCCCCACATCGTTCAGGATGTCCCTGGTAGGGGATGTCCTTCTGTATGCTATGAATATATGTTTCTCTTATTGGTTGATGAATAAAGCTGTTTCAGCCAAAGGACAGGCAGGATTTAACTAGGCGAGAAATCCAAATAGGGATAGAGAAAGGTATAGGTGGAGTCACTAAGACACCATGTAGCCACCAGAGAGGTAGAGTGCCCAGGCATTCTCTGGTAAGATAAGACCACGTGGAGATACACAGATTAATAGAAATGGGCTAATAATTAAGAGAGAGCTGGCCAATAAGAGGCCTGAGCCATCAGCCGAACAGTTTATAATTAATTTAAGCCTCTGTGTGTTTATTTGGGACTAAACAGCAGCAGGACCAGGTGGGACAGAAACTTCTGTCCACATGTCCCCTGGAATTCAAATGAGTATAAGGACAAAAAGAATACTGAAGCCATCTTAGCCTCTTACCCATCTCCATTTTATACATCACCACAAATTATGTGTTGCATAATCCAATAGCTACTTAACTTTTATGGAAATACAACTACTGTGATAATAGAGGGAAGCTGAGTTTTAGTTTGTTTAGAACTTGCTTAAAAATTACTGTTCACTTGTAGATATTCATTATATTAAACATGGCAGGGCCGTTTCCAGCCCATGAGTTACCAATGCACCACACCTCTCTGGTCTAAATTCAAAGATCCTGAACTTCTAAACATTCATATTTGTCTACAAGTACCTGATTATTAAATTGTAGATGTTGTGATCATTTTCAAGCCTTTACATGTTGAACATTATTATAATTTAGCTATTTTTACCTTGTACTCATTCATAACGCAATTAAAGTATCTGAAGTTTGTATGTGTCTGTATTAAATTTTCATTTTTTATAAAGGGAACATTATAAAATTCTTGTTTTTAAAATGGTGTGGGTGACTGACATTATGAAGATATCTTCCAGTGTCTGTTGAACCGTGTGGTAAGACAGGCCAGCCTGAGATGGCTGGGTTTGTCTCTATAAAACACTTCTAGTTTCTGGGTCTTAAAAGATCCTTGAGCTGTTTTTGTTTGTTTGTTTTCAATGCATAACCCATAAAAATCAGGGATATGCTTTTGCTACTACTAACTCGTACTTTCCAATCAGAACATGGCAGCTGGACAGTTGAACTTGCATGTGTAAACACATAGCCAATTTCCATAGTTCCCCGTGGTACTATGTGATAAGACGTAGTAAGGCCTATATTCAAGCCCTACTTCTGTTTCCCACAAGTCTGACCCCTGACCCATGGTAGCAAGTGGCTTTTCAAAGCCTCTTCCTCTAGTAAACACATTGTGAATGTACATCCTCCCTTCCCATGGGCTGCGAAGATTCTATGAGGTCTCATATGTGACCGAGATTTGTGGGCTGCAGAATGTAGCTGGATTTGATGTTTCACTGATTTTTCTTCCCCACCCCCGACCCCTGTACAGGATACCTAGGTCTCCGGATAAGGGCAGCACGAGGGTTTTTCAGTCTCTTGGAGTGTGTCTGAAGCTGAACCGTTCCTAACAGAGCTACAGAAACACAGGAATGGCTTTGCTGACTTCACCCAATGTGCTGTGGCAAGAAAACCATCACTGGGCCTTAGAGCTTCACAACCCTGTATCTGCCCCCATTCCATGTGAGAGCTGGCTGAAAGCAGGCTGCATACTTGGAACCCTGAGCTTGTAAACTTGGGTTAGCAGTCCCTAACCTGATAATTAGCAATAAATGACAAGTGAGAGAACTTGGCGCAAGAGTACTATTACTGATTTACTGAGAAACTGAAACAGCGTTATCTGCCTAATCCTTTCTGAACTATTGCTGGCTGTTTAGGGAGACTTGGAATAGCAAGATTTAATCTCCTGACTCTACAATCCAAGAAGCCACCTCCAAGCACCCTCCTCAGTGCAATTAGAGAGGAGATTGTGCCTTCATCCCCATTAAGGGACAAGAAAATCAAACAACTACATTAGCTGGTGATGTGTTAGAACCGGATGGGAACAGGGGGCTTCTGGTGATCACATTGTATCTGTGTCTGCATTGTAACCCAAGCCCAGTAAGGCAACCGCTGAAGATCAGTCCTGAGCACACCATGGTAATAAACCCTAGTGCTGGAGAGAAACACAGAGATGTGCTCCTGTCAGCTTTGGGGACATGTTTGCTAGCAAAGGTCATCCAATCTTTTTTAAACATGTGTGCATACAGGCTGTGCATACAGGCAAGTGTGTGTGTGTGTGTGTGTGTGTGTGTGTGTGTGTGTGTGTGTACCATCAATCTCCTGGAGCTGGAGTCATAGGCGGTTGTGAGCCACCCCATAGTGATGCTGAACCCTCTAGAAAAACAGGAAGCATTCTTTTCTTTATTGTTTTTTGTTTGTTTACTCCTTTTGTATTTGTTTGTTTTTACATTCCAACCCCAATTACCCTTCCCCCTCTCCTCCCAGTCCCCTCCCTCTCACCTCCCCTTTTCCCCACCCCCAACTACTTCTCCTCCACCTCCATCTCCATCAGAAAAGGGCAGGCCTCCCATGGCATAGGCATATCAAATTGCAGTGTGAGTAGGCACCTCCTCTCCACTAAGGCTGGATGAGGCAACCTGGTAGGAGAAAAGGGTCCCAAAAGCAGGTAACAGAGTTAGAGACAGCCCCCCCACATTAGAAGTCCCACAAGAAGACCAAGTTACAACTGTAACACAAGCAGAGGGCCTAGGTCAGTCCCATGCAGGCTCCCTGGTTAATGGTATAGTCTCTATGAGCCCAGGTTAGTTGATTCTGTGGGTTTTCTATGGCTCCTACAATCTTTCCTCCCATTCTTCGGCAGGATTCCCCCAGGTTTGTCTAATGTTTGGCTGTGGGTCTCCACATCTGTTTCTATCAGTTGTTGGGTGATGACACTTGGGCTAGGCCCCAATCTATGAGTATAACAGAATATCATTAGAAATCATTTCATTGATTTTTTCCAGTTATATTTGGTTCTACCCAGCCTCTGGGTCCTGGCCCTCAAGGCAGTGTCAGGGGTTGGCTTCCTCTCATGATAAGGCACTCAAGCTGAACCAGTCATTGGTTGACCACTCCCACAATTTCTGCACAGCCTTTATCCCAGCAGATCTTGTAGGCGGGGCAAGTTGTAAGTGGAAGGTTTTGTGGCTGGCTGGTGTCCCAATCCATCCCCTGGAAATCTTGCCTGGTTACAGGAAATGGCTGGTTCAGGCTCTGTATCCCCATTGCTGGAGTCTTAACTAGGGTCATCCTCATAGATTCCATAGGTTTCTAGTTCATCCCTGAGATCTTCCCCCGACTGCCTGCTTATTCCAGTTATCTCTCCCAGTACTCTCTCCCTCCATTCTTCCCCCAGTCCCTCCCATTTCCATCCCCATCCAGAACCCCCCTTTCCACATGATGTCTATTCTATTTCCCATCACAGGGAGATTGATGTGTCTTCCTTGAGCCTTTCTTGTTACTTAGCTTCTCTGGGTCTGCAGATTGTAGCATGGTTATCCTATACTTTATGAATAATATCCACTTATAAGTGAGTACATACCATGTTTGTCTTTCTGGGTATGGGTAATCTCACTCAGGATGATCTTTTCTAGTTCCATCTATTTGTCAGCAAATTTTCTGATGTCATTATCTTTAACAGGTAAGTAATACTCCATAGTGTAAATATACCACATTTTCTTTATCCATCCTTCAGTTGAGGGACATCTACATTGTTTCCAATTTGTGGGTATTATGAATAAAGCTGCTATGAACATAGTTGAGCAAGTGTCTTGTGGTATAATTGAGCATCCTTTGGGTATATGCCTAAGATTGATATAGCTGGGTCTTAAAGTAGATGGATTCCCAATTTTCTGAGAAATCACCATATTGATTTTCCAAAGTGGCTATAAAAGTTTGCACTCCCACCAGAACAGAAAGCATTTTTAACCACTGAACTATATTTCCAATACTTTCTAGGGAAATTTTAAGTGGGGCATATAATCTCCAGGCCTTGGAAGAAATTACTTTGTGGTGTTAAATTTTGGTTCAAAGGAGAAAGCAGGAAGTACCCATGATGAGAGAGGTAGTGACTGCATCTTCTCCCAGGCCTTATGGTACCATCAGCCATAATATCACACTCTGGACCTTATTACAAGTCCCCCAAGTCTAAGGATACAGCTCAGTTGGTAGTATACGTGCTTAGCACACACAGAAGGCCTGCATAAATCAGAGGAAGTGGTCACACTTGTGATCCCAGCACTTACCACAGAGAAGCAGAAAGACCAAAAGCTCATGGCCATATATAGTTATATAAAAAGTCTAAGGCCTGAGGCCAGCCTGGGCTACATGAGATCTGGATTAAAAACAAAACAAAGCAAAAGTTCCCCAAAATTGAATTCATTCTAGAAAAAGTTTAAAAGATTTCTGGTTAGCAAGAGCAAGAATCTTGCTGGCTTTGATTAACCAAAGTTTGGCACAGCGAGAGGAGGAGGAAGGATGGGAAAGAATCAACAGCCTTGTGTTGTTCAATGTTCCCAGTCTCCTCCGTGGAGAACTAGAAAGACAGAACCTGTGGATAAGGGTTGAGCGCCCTGTGTACATAGGTGGTAAGGACAGACATAGGGAGTAAGGGACAAGGCTAAGCCTTCAGAGGCAGATCTGGGGCTTTTCTCAAACGCTGAGGTGCAGGGAATGAAGCATTTGGGCGTTGTTTCAATTCATGATGATTTTCGCACAGAAATTCACTACTTCCTATGTTTCAACCTCAAAGTCAAGGCATTATGAACATTGAATTAGATATGTACCATGAGAGGTTTCTTTCTCGGGGTTACACATCAGAATCACACAGGTAAGACAGGAAGTCCCCAAAGACACATGTCATAAGTCACCTGACAGTGGGGTTCTTATGCCATGCGAAGCACGTACACTATGATTAAACTTAACTGTCAACTTCAGAAGACATGATGCTAGGCATCTTCAGACATAGAAGACTGTCAGGGGAAAGCACTTCACCCATGTGCCTTCATGTCTTGCTGAGTAGGTCTGTTCCTCATGCCCTTGCTTTCCTGATGACCTCAGACTCCAAATTCTTTGGCTTTCCTATGTAGATGAATATCAGAGACTATCCAGGAATCTTCCAAACTGTCAACACCAAATTGAGAAAGTTGAGGCGTCTAGTTATGAGACTGGAGCAGCTACAGAGTTCTCAGACTCTCCAATAAGCAGATAGCCACTGTTGAACTATACAGCCCTGTTGGTTCTGCCTTTCTAGAGAACCCTGCCTAGTAAGATACAGCATATACAGAATAGTTTGAAATAGTATGCACAGTACAGTACGCATATGCGGTATGTATGCATAAATTAAAAACCTTAGTCTCTTATTGGTCATACCTGTGAGGAAGAGACAGGAGCATTCTGTGTACAAATCCTCATCCTGCTCCCTGTTTCTCCTTCACTGAGATCCAGGCCTTCTTGTTAGAAAACGTACTGGCTGCTCGTAGTGCAATGCTGGGGTTCCTATTATTTATTTGCTTCTCAAACACAAAAGCATAGACCCAGGTCCAGGGATGGCACTATAAACTCCCCTTAATACAAAGATAAAACTTGATATTTCCATAAGGCCACAAAGAAAGGCCCCCGCGTCTGACTTAGCTATTCCCATGAGCTCTCTGCAGAAGTCAGAGGTAAGAAAAGCTGTATTTCCCAGTGTGGACACAGCGAACACCTTTATTACTGAAAGAGGATGTTTTTATTTGCACTGCATCATGCCCATAAATTCCATCCACTCAGCAAGTCAAATTATTGCTGGCCTCCAAAATACATTAAGTTTGGGTTTAAATCAGTCACTTTTGAAGATATACTGCAACCTACTTCCTGGCCATATTTGTAATATATTCACGGCACAAATGTTCTTTAAAATGCATGGTTTGTGGAGTTGTCTTACTTCAGTCAGACATGGGAAGATATAAGGAAGATAAGCTCTCATTTGCAGTTTCTTTGTGTGTGATTGTTCTTAATCCCTACCGGCAAGGCTAATGGCTGACAGATGCTTTCGGGCTATGAAGAAAAAGAGGCCTCTGATTCCAAGTCAAATTAGGATTAGTGAGATCACAGTAAACAGCAATGAGAAAAAAAAATAGGACTCTGAGCAGTTTATGTTAGAATTTGGTAGCAGCAGACAGGCTTTCCCAGATAATGGCAGAAAGCAAGAAGCCAGAGAATTTTTTTGAATGCTTAATGGTATATGGCAGGATTGAGATGTGTTTAATAAAGATACTCAGAATTTCTTACCCTTGTTTTCTCTTCCTACTTTACAAAGTTACACATTTGCATTTTTATCAATTGTCATTCAAGAGATTTCAACACAATGCAGAGATTTGGGGAATGTGTGACAGCTAGGTCGATTATCATTTAGGTGGCTGAGAAAGAGAGATGTTGGGAAATGAAACCAGATTTCCATCACTCCCTTGGGTGAGAAGTCTGAACTCCCCTTCATCAGGCTGCTCTGTCAGATGAGAAGGAACGTGTGGTGTGTTGAGAATGTACATAGCAGTCACCAAGAAAGAAGCCACACAGCATTATACACAGCCAAAGCAGTACCTTCAAAATAATATACAGACTATTTACATCTTCCCAGAAGTCAAGTCCATGATTCTCCTCTGCAAGGCCACATAGGAGGCACTTTCCCATCTATGCATATAAGCATGCCATAATAAATCTCTGGCCAATATTAAGGTATGAATTTCATATCACTCAGGGCTAGTTGATATCTAGAATATTTTATATTCCACGATAATCATAGTTTTTCTACATACATTTAAAGACTGATATGTTTAATCTCAAGACATAAAAATATAAATAGCAATTACCATTTTG